GCACGCGCGCAGTGCTAGATTCATCAGCGGCCCAGAACCTTAGATTCCCGGAGGGCGAAACGCCGCCTGATACTGTCGCATGATCCAAGTACCCCCGGGCCCCGGCGGTCCGAGAATCGGGGCCCCGGGCCAATGAACTCGGCGCCGCGCACCGGGGGCGGAACGGGGGGGCCGGGCGGCGCAGGGTCTCCCCCCGGCCAAGGTGAGGCGGCAGAGGACTCGGGCGCCGCCGCCACTGCGGAGCCGCCGGGCCGCGGGGCGAGGCGGCGGCGCGGCCTCGGAGGAAGAGGGTCGCCGCCAGGCTCGCGGCGGCCGCGGCTCTCGCGCCGTCGCCGTATTTCCTGTTTGGATTATCTCTTGCTTCTCCGCAGCCGCCTCTTCCCCTCGCACTCGCACTCACCCCCGCGCCTCCGGCTCCTCCGGGGAAGCTGCCCTCCGCCCGGGCTCGCTCCTCCCGCTCGGGGACGCCCCTGGCCGGCCTCCCGGGCCGCGGGCCAGCCCCGCCGGGACCATGAGGAAATTCAACATCAGGAAGGTGCTGGACGGCCTGACCGCCGGCTCGTCCTCGGCCTCGCAGCAGCCGCAGCCGCAGCAGCACACGCCGGGGAGCCGGGAGCCCGAGGTCCAGGAGACGCTCCAGTCCGAGCACTTCCCAGCTCTGCAAAGGTGAACGGAGCCGCGCCGCCCGCGGCCTCGGGGGGCGCCTGCGGGGGGCAGTGCCGGGGGACAGGGCGCCAGCGATAGTCCTGCCGCGAGGAGAGCACTCGCGCCTCCTCTAGCAAACATTGGCCGGATGGGCTATTTTGGAGATTTACATCATCTTACACCTTTTCCTTGATATCTACACCCCCCCCCTCCCCCCGTCCCAGGCAGCGATCATTCAAGGCGGTTTCCAACCTATGGTACGGATCTTGAATTCGTATTCTTAATCCACAATCTTAATGAAAATTGAGGCATTTTGATGTCATGCACCAACTTTGAAGTTTCCCTTGGAAGCAGTGTCTGATGAACGTTGCTTGTCAAAAAGCCAGACCTGTTCAGCGAGATATTTGCTCATCACTTTTCCCGTAGACTATGGTAGGAGGCTTTAAACATGTGAAATCACAGGGTCCTCTTACCTTTAGTTAAAAAGTTAGTGCTGTGATTTTTGCCGATTAATGGCACGGCAGTTGCCGTAGCGGTCGGTAATTCAGAAAGAATGATGCAGCGAATTAATTCAGCAGCTGCTCAGTGAGAAATACAAACTTGTCTTGGTGTTAACATCTGCCTTCCTTATAAATACCGTGCGTTCAAATGTTAGAGTTCCTTAAAAGTGTGTAGGAACACTTTTTGGCCATATTGCCCTGAAATGATTAAGAATTTAGTAGCAAAATGCACAAGTCTGTATTCGGTTACAATTGCACAATGTTGGGATAGATGTTTGGGAATTGCTTTACTGAATCCTCGACTAGCTTATATGACAGCTTTTCCTTAGAAGTACTTGCATGAGCATCCAAATACTAGTACACTAATGATGAGGTTATCACACTTGAAATAAAACATGAATTGCCTTTTTAAATGAATTTACAGAATTTTTGACCACTGTGAACTTTAATAATTTGGTCTCAGATATAATACTATAGACTATTAGTAAGACATTTTTTTCAATAGAATATCAGTATTATGGAAAAGCAGAAATTGAAGTGTAATACTGGGGTAGATTTTGTTTGTTTTAGGTTCTATGTGAATAAGTGTTTTTTAGTATACATTTCATAGTGGTTTTTTTTTAAAGCAGTAGTTACATGTATATGTACTTTTGCATCAATTATAATTGGTTTTAGATTCTAATGCCTTTATTGACTTTTCTGTTTTAAAATTTTGCTTGCGGCTTTGGTTGGTGTGATGTCACTTGCCCATCCCTAGACTGTTCGCCATGGATTTCCCTATCAACCCTCAGCCCTGGCCTTTGATCCTGTACAGAAGATCCTGGCAGTGGGAACTCAGACTGGTGCTTTAAGGCTGTATCCTTTCACTTAATTTTATATTTTAAACTTTTATTGTATTCTCCTCAGTCTTGCTGTGTTACCGATCAGTTTTTCTTCCTGTTTAATTCCAAAAAAAAATGATCTGGTAGACATTATGTGAGATCATGTGGTGTTGGCTTTTCTCTAGATGATACATATATTCAGGTATTAGGTTGCTGTGATTTTTCTCAGCTCTCAGTTTATAGTAGCTAAACATGTGACCATCCATATAGAGTCCTAAAGTTTTACTGTTGCAAAGAGATAGAAGTTTCTAAGGGGACATATATTTACTTATACTACTAGTCTGTTGAATGGAACATGTTAAAGACCAGGTTTAAAGACAGTAGCACAGGGTACATTTTTGATGGCTTTTCAACAATATTGTGCGTGGTTGATGTTGAACTTTTGACCTATTTTTCTAACAAATTAGAGTTTAAATTTAAATTTGGCTATTTCTGACTTGTCCATCTAGAAAAATCATTGGAAGACAAATGTCTTCATTTTATGTAACTGATTATAGAAGGTTGCTATTTCCAGAAGTTTTAGAGCATTTTCTTCACATAATGCAAATAGAAAAGTATACTCTTTTGATGCTTTCCTTTTGTAGTCTGCATTTGTTATATCTATGTAAAAACTGTTAGGTTAGCAGAATTCTGAAGTATTTGTATAGAGAATTATTTTTCCTGGTTATGTATAAACTATAGTAGAAGTTTGGTCATAGCATATTTTTTAAGTACCTACTTAGTCTTTAAGATAATTTTTTTTTAGTTGAACAATACAGAATACCTCTCATTTCCTCTTTTAAGTGATTTAACTTAAAATAAAATTTTGTTTGCTTTTACTATGACATTAAACCATCGTAACCCAAATTCCCTTATTTTAAAAGTTAAATAACATTTTTAAAAGAAATGTTGTGTTCGTTCATCTGTAGGATACTTTCTTCCTACATATTATTGAAGTAATATGTTGGTAATAAGTAGATAGAAAATCACTAGACATAACTATCATCAAAAACAAACAAACAAACAAACAAACGGGGGAATGGGAGCTTTACCCCTCACATCTGGCTCCTGATAAGGGGGAGAGGAACTTGCATTTGCTTTTTCCTTATCATTTTTTAAAATCTTCATTTCAAGGAAGTACTATATATGGTATCAGGATATACCTCAAGTTTCATTTGATATTAGTGTGTAATCTTTAAAGTGATCATAAAAGTTTTTTCAAATGGGTCATTGAACTCTTACTGAGTGAAGTCTACCATTTATAGTAAATATCAGCAATGCACTCATACATCTATTAAAATGGTAAAGTCTGACCAGCTAAGATCCAAATCTGTGAATTTCTAAATTTTTTGTATAAAGGGCTCTTGCCCAAATATCTGGATAGTTCAATCTAGAATATTTTGGGTTTCAGTTGTCAAGAGATTTTTATTCCTAAACCCAATGATCAATTCCTTCTAGTTTAGGGTTGATGAGAGTATAATTAATTTCTGACAGTGTGGGTGCTAAGTGTTCAGTAAAACTCTGTGTAGTGACAAGAATAGTGCTTTGTTGGATTTAGATGCATTGTTTAGAACTGAAAACAGATTTTTTTTTTCTCAAAAGAATATTGTCACTGGACTAAAAGAAAAAAAAGTTGAATTAAATCAGTTATTTTTAGATTATTTTGCTTTTTTTTTTAAAGGGGTTGAATTTTAACGATTTTCCCAGTGCACTCTCAGTTTTCTCATGGTAAATAAGTTATTTTTTTTAACAGTCAATCTGTTCCATTTTGTAATTTAATATAATTACAAGTGGGTACCATCAGCAAGGCTGAATTTTATAAAACCAAATATTTTTCTTAGACAAGACTTTTGCCCCTAATGAATTTGAGTAATTAGCAAGTTGACACAAGGGAAGATTAAAAATATTAGGCCTACAGCTAATTGCCAAATAAAAGCAAGGATCAAGTGTCCAAAATCATTACTTGTGCATGACTTTTGCTTATACATATTTTTAATAGTTAAATACTGTATGAGTGTAAATAAATCTGTAATTATAGTTTACAATTAGACTATAAATTTTTTTTAAGAACCTGTTTTACTGTATTTAGAATGAAGTCTGGAAAACTGTTTACCAAATATATTTCTATTTTCCCTTTTAAGATTTATATGTATGGTAAATTGGTTTGTCTACCAGTAATATCACCTAGTCATTTCTTCTGTTAAGTTTATATAGCACATCAGCTTATGAGCTTTATTTATTATGCTTTGAATTATAGGAAATGACTAAGACCTTTTTATTTTTATCTAATTTCTACACATGTGTTTTAAGATGTTATTTTCTCTGTTCTTTATTTTCAAAAGTAAACAGGTTAAATTTTAGTTCCTAATTTTACAGCTTTATATTGATACTAGAGGCCTGGTACATGAAATTCGTGCACGGAAAGGGGGGGGTCCCTCAGCCCGGCCTGCACCTTCTCCAATCCAGGACCTCTCGGGGGATGTCTGACTGCCTTTTGCAACCCAGGACTGCTGGCTCCTAACCATTCACCTGCCTGTCTGCCTGATCGCCCCTAACCCCTATGCCTGCCTGCCTGATCACCCCTAACCACCTCTGCCTGCCTGATTGCCCCTAACCACCTCTGCCGGCCTGCCTGATCGCCCCTAACTTCTGCCCTACCAGCCTGATCGCCCCTAACTGCCCCCTGCTTGCCTGATCGCCCCTAACAGCCTCTGCCTCGCCCCGCACCCGGTACCCAGGATTCCCTCCTCCGGCTGGTCGCAGGCACCCGGGACCCGGGCCGGCTTCGCCCGGGCTGGCCGCAGCTGCAGGGGACCGTGGGCGGGCCGGTTCACCTGGGCCGCAGCCGCAGGCATTGGTGCCCAGGACCATGGGGCGGTTGGCTTGTCCCTCTCCTGGGCTGCAGGCGCAGCCTCTGGCGCCCGGGACCGTGGGGCGGGTGTCTTGTCTCTCTCCTGTGCTGCAGCCCCAGCTGCTGTCGCCCAGGACTGCAGGGCGGGCAGCTTGTCCCTCTCCCAGGCCGCAGCCTGGTTGGTCCCCATTTCTCTCTTGCGAGCTCATTTGTGCCTGGCTGGTCCCCATTCCTCTCTTACGAGCTCATTTGTTCCTGGCTGGTCCCCATTTCTCTCTCCTCAGTGTTGAGTGTCTGAGCCGTTACAGCGTGAGGGCGTGATGATCATTTGCATATTAGCTCTTATTATATAGGATAATATGCAGACTTATTACAAATCAATTCTGCTGCTCTTGCTCTTTTATATTTTTCTTTATTGAAATTGTGTGTGTGTGTGTGTGTGTGTGTTTTTTTAGTCCTGTCTTTATTTTCTCCTCATATTAGACACTGGTAGCCTGCAGTATATTTGTATTAAAAGTTATCTTTAGAGAAGAAATGTATTTCTAGATAAAGTCTTTTCTTTACTTGTGGAGCAGAAAGTAGGAGATGTATTCAGAAGTAGAATTAGGCTATTGGAATTTTGAAATGTATATCTGATTTGAGTAAAAGAAGGTATTCCTAAATGTTGGGAGACTAAACTATATTAATCTACCTTGAACTAAAAAAAAAACAAACAGATGAAAGTTACATCTGATATCTCATATATTTATAGACAAGAATTAGTGAAAATCTGAATCCTTATATAATATCTAATAATGAGACAAGATAAATTTAATGTATTTGCTGCATTAATATATAGCAAATGACTGATGATGTCACTTATAAACATGCTTTATGTTCAACCTTCTTGGCTTCTGGAGAGAATATGTGGTTGGAATGTACTTATTGATAGGAAGCAGGAAAGCATATTTTATATAATACATCATATAGTAGTGATGTGATTTAATTCTCTTTTTGCCATATAGAAATAGGTACAGTTTGATTTTTATGAGTGATCTAGAGATCAAAACTATTGGGATAATGGAGAATATAGCCAATATTATTGTAATAACTATGTATGATGTCAGATGTGGCTTGTGGGGTGATCACTTCTTAAGTTGTATACCTGAGACTGTATACCTGACATAATATGTCAACTGTAATTGAAAAGTAAAAAAAAAAAAATAACTATTGGGATAAAATAATCTAATCATCTATTCTCATATGAATAAGTAAAAGGGTAAAAAGGTTATAGCTGAAGAATGAAAGCATTTCTAGTAATGTTCCTTGGAGTTTGTTTAACAAGCATATATTAAGTGTTAACATTAGATTATAGATTGTGGTCTGAATTCTGGTTCTCGTCTTGTCACTAAAGAATTATGTGTTCTTGAATTAGTTTTTTATTTTTTTCCACTTTTAAAATGAAGGTACAGCCCTAGCCAGTTTGGCTTAGTGGATAGAACATCAGCCTGTGGACCAAAGGGTCCCAGATTCGATTCTGATCAAGGGCACATACCTTGGTTGCAGGCTCCTCCCCAGCCTGGGCCCTGGTCGGGGCTCCTGCAGGGGGCAACCAATTTATGTGTTTTTCTCACACACAAAAATAAATAAAGTAAAACGAAGGTGCTGTTCATGATTTCTTTAAGAAATAATTCTGTGATTCCAAGTAGCTATATTATATTGGTCGAATATTCAGAAGAAAAGATTATGTGATTTTTACCTTCAAGAAGTTTCTAGTCCTAACTGTAGGACTAGAACTAGATAAATATAATTGAAGTTAAAGAGTTATTTAGAGGTCTACTGACATTACAGAAAGTTATATTACAGGTAAATTCATTGTATTTGATGACATCTACACACTAACAGATAAGTATTTTGAATGGCAGAGAAGAAAGAATGGGAAAATTATTCTAAGCAAACTGTGTTGGCAAAAGTAGAGAAAAGGGAATTTTCATGGTAATTGAGAGGAGCACTAAAGAGACTCCTTGGAATAGTGATTCTAATTGAGTTGGGGGGAAAAAAAGGAGCCAGTTGGTGGAGAACCTTGAAAGTTACCATGCATTATCTGAGGTCTTTCAGTGAGGAATCATTGTACTTAAATAAGGAGATGCTGACAGGAAGACGGT